ATGGACCATACCACCACAATACACAATCTTGAATTTTATCAGGATCGACCCCTTTTGATATAATATCTGGGGGATTTTCTTGCAATTGGAGGTTTTAGGGCTCACTTTTTTTGGATGTTGAATTACACTGACTCTTTTTTTTAAAAAGGGCGAGAACTGAAGGGCCCTTTTTTTTATCCATGCAAGGACGATGGTGAATCGCCCACCATAATATCGTTAAGGGAGTTTTCATCGATTTGATGGTCTTTTTTATTAAATTAGCAAAAGCACTGCTGCAAAAAATCCCGGGGGAATCGTTATCGACTTAAAAGGTGCAGTTTTTTGATTTGGACACAATTTTGTAGATACAGTTCCCAATTTAAAGCCTTTTAAAGGGGCCCCACGCGTTTTTTTCTTTAACATAACCTTTGGGTTCTTTGGGGGCCAAGATTAATGGCAACTCTTTTCCAACCAAAAAACCCAAGTCGAAATGTAAAAAAGAAATGCAAATAAGATAGTTTTTAAAAAACAGAAGTTTCAGAAGTGAAATGGCAATTTGGGGAATGTTATGTTTGAAAGAGATGCTGGAATTGATATTTTTTGGAGTTACCGGGAAGATAAGCCATTAAATCCGGGGCATACCCCCCACACGCCCCCAGACGTTTCTTCATAAGATTGAATCTAAATTTGGATTAAGGTGGATTGATTATTTGATATTGGACTTATAAAAATTTTTAGAAGGAATGGTGGATTAAATAATTTATAATTGTCTAGAGCGATTCGCTTAACTATTACTGTGTGTTTGTTCATTATAGATTCTCGCTTAAATAATATCATCTAAATTGTTAGACATTTGTTTCATTCTTAATAAAGTCATATTAAGAATTAAAAACCCCCATTCCTTTGCAAACCCTACACCTCTAGCTCACGCTGACAATCAAAGATACGGTCACCCAAGGGGGGCGGTATCACAACTTTACATAAATTGCAGCACCGTAGGCTCTTAAAGAACTGTCGCAGTACCCATGGAGTTAGTGCATCGTCCAATAAAATATATTGTGGAATGTTCAAGTTGTTAATTGCAGCTAAAGACTTAACAAATCGCTTCCACTGTGTTTCCAAATGTATATATATATTGGTAAGGAATCATTCCAGTCCAATTTTAATCTCCATAATTCTTGCATCACCAGTTTTGCCTTCGTAACAACAGGCAAAATGAGACCTAATGGATCAAAAATCCTAGCAGTGGCTGAAAGGACTGACCTTTTTGTAATTGTACAAGAATCAGAGACATCTGCAACGGAAGACACCAAAAATGCTAAAGTGTCCTTTTGAAGTCTCCACAAAAGTCCTAAGGCCTTAGTTTCATCAGGAATTGTGAGAGAAACATCTCCATCAGAAACATCGAAATTAGAAAGCAGTTCAATGCAGTTGGAGGACCATTTATGCAACTGCATGCCAGCTCCACTTAAGAGGGATATAAGTTCCTGTTTAAGTTGTTTTGCTGAAGAAATGCTCGAACAGCCACTGATAAGATCGTCCATGAAAATATCAGCACTCACAGCTGAGGCCGCTAACGGATATTTATGCCCATCACACACACACATCCGTAACTAATTTCTTAAGCACTCGTTGTGCAAGAAAGGGAGCACATGTTGTACCGTACACTACTCTATTCATTCGGTACGTCAATACTGTCCTTTCATACAATTCGTAACAAGTCTCTCAGAGATTCATCTATGAATATCATGCGAAGCATTTTTTTAATATCTGAAGTCAAAGCGATTTTATTTTTTCTGTATCTCAATAATATCGCAAATAAATCATCTTGACTGACTCCTCCATTTGCCAAAATAGAGTTCAACGACTCGCCAGTCGAAGTAGAACATGATGCATCGAAAACAGTCCTAAGCGGTGTGAATTTGGAGTCGGGACGTAATGCACCATGATGCGGCATATAATATGAAACTGTCGGTTCAGATTCATCGGATAATTGCTCCATATGTCCCATATCCAAATATTCATGGATAAAGTCTCGATATAACTGTTTAAGATTTGGATTGGCATCTAATTTTCGCCATAACGAATTTAATCAACGAATAGCCATTTGTTTGGATTCGCCAAGACAACTAGGTTCCTTTAAAAATGCCATCTGGAAAATGCATTGTCCCGATTCATTTCTCCGATGATTATTTACGAAATGTTCTTCACAAAACTTGGCTTGTGAATTTAGATTACGGGGTTTCATCTTCAATTGATTCTAACTGCCAAAATTTAAAATTTAAAACTATCTCCCCCCTTTTTGTTCAGAAAGTAGAAAACATTCTGTTTATCATCGGCTGCCGGACCCCTCCGAACTATGAATTTAAAAAACCAAATTTTGCAAAGTTACTGAATCAATTTTATCTGATCTCCCTTTAAATTTTTGGAACAAGCGCGCCAAAGAGCATTAAAACCCTTTCGATGGTTTGGGGAAAAGAAGGATCCGCCCAATGTTTTTTTGGAAGAAAATTTTTGATATATCAAAAGGGCCACGGATGAATGATGATTTTTTGGAACAACGAAAACTTAATTTTGGATTAAAAGAACCATCTTGATTAAATATTAATTTACAGAATAATTTTTTGAGAAACCGTTAAACCCGAAACCGTTGAATTTATTTTGTTTCTCTTTAATCCCAATGTATAGTTGCACTATCTGAATCGATCAAATTTATTTCTGAGCCACTATCCAAAATTATTTTTACGGGAATTTTATTATATGTTGCTGTGTCTCAGATATATTTAACAGGGTGATTCTTTGCATTCGTTGCAAAACATTGCTCGGTATTGCCTTGGATGATTCGCCTGGCGTGGGTGAAGAGGCAATTGAGCATCATCTTCCTTGATGAATTTTAGTATTATGAAATTTATTCATATGAAGGAGGAAAGGTTCGTTCTGGTACCTTCCATTGCGAACGCGAGTAGTAACCCAAACACGCCAAAAGATCGTCGTCGCGGGTGTTTGGGACTGGTTCATATAGATATCACACCGCCACATACTCCCCCGCCAGGCGGGAAAGGCGAAAAAAGTTACCATATTCGTGGCGAGCATGTGCAATTGCGCACTTGGGGATTGCGCATTCGTGTGAGACGACTTGAGAAAGCGTCATTTGTGTGACGGTTTGATTGCGCATTTGTGTGGGGGTCGACTTGAGAGAATTGCGTCATTTTGTGAGACGACTTTGAGAAGAACGGCTTATTTGGTCAATGTTTGAAGGCTTATTCTTTGGTTGGATAGATGGGGCCCGCTGTGGCGCGGAAGGGGGTGGGTTTCCCTTTCACGGCCGGGGCACCAAGAAGGAGGAAGGATTCGTTCTGAGTACCTTCCGTTCCCAACACGAGAGAACCAATCACGCCAAAACGATCTGTCCGTGATGTTGGTACTGTTCATATAAAATCACACCCCCCACATATCTTGCAACGGATGTCGAAAACATTTTTCATCGGGGGGGTGTTAAGGCAGTTCGTAAATGTTTTTTTTTAAAAGTTCAAACCCTTTTTAAAAAGGGGAATATTTAAAAAAGATTCACAATAAATTTGGGTGCTTATTTTGATACAAATCAAACATTCTTTTGGCCTTGGGTAGATTCAGTAGTGGTTTTAAAATAAGTTTTTTTTTAAATGTTTAAAAGAAAAAAAAACCTTTTTTTCTTTTTTTTTTCCTTTTTAAAGTCGTTACACAATTTATGATAAAAAAGCTTGCCAGATTTATATAATACAGAATTTATATACTTAGTTTAAAAAATTTTAAAAAAATTTAAAAACAGATTAAGTTATTTAGTTTTTTTATTACCGGTAAATCTTGCGACAAGCATATCATAAATTGTGCAACGACTTTATAAGTTGATAAAAAATTTTTAAAAAAAAAAATTTTTTTATTCTTTTAACTTAAATAAAATTGAAAAGGTCTTAATTTTTATTTCAATGGTCTTTTATTTCTTTTTTTTTCGAAGACTTCGTGGATTGGTCGTTTTAGAGCGCTGGATTCGTTACTTTTGTACCCGAGTTCAGAGAACAACTTATTATCGCTTAGTTTTATGATTTAAAAATTACTCAAAATTTTATTCGCGCACATTTAATAACTTAGTCAGCAATTTTGTAGTGGAAAGATAATTTATTTCATCACGATACAGTATGTTCATTTTTATTTTTACAAAACAACGATACTTTACATATTTTATGATTTTTTCTAAAATGGATCAATATCGATGCGTTTATGTAATGATTTAAATAACTCATACTTTGATACAGTTAGTGATTAAAATAAAATGTCGAAAATTTTTCCGAATATTTTCTTTGCAATAATTTATTACTTTTTGTACTTACTGGATGGCTGCACGTGTCGAGCTGCTTAAGAATAAATTATATATATATATATATATATAGTGAATAATTTCACTACTCGAGAGCTTTTGATAGCGAAGAAATTTAAATGACAATATATGCTATGCATTTAAAATGTTCGTGCAATACCGGGGAATAAAGCTGTCTGACAAAGAAAAGAAGCGAAAAAAATTTCGAAACAGTAATTTTAAGTTATACACACTCGGTAAAGCCGAGCAACACATGGCGAAGCGGAGGGAGGGTGGGAGTGGAAGTCATTATATAAAAAGTATTAGAAGTGCTGATTTTGTGAAGGGAAAAGAGAATTGCTCTCTAAAGTAGAAAGCCCGTGCAACACCTGGCCCATCTGAATACTCTTTTTAACTAATTGCGATATCCGGATATAACTGTGGTCAAAACATGCATTGTCATCAAACTAAACGTGTAGACAAAATTTCAGCTCAATCGGTCCAGGACATCAGCTAAAATTGAATGGCAAATTTCCACCCCGAACATTTTTATTGCCAAGTTAAATAAAAAGCTGTAAATATAGCATACTTTTGTACGTGTATGCTGAGTTGAAGTATGTGTAATATATCTCGTTGTACCAAATCAAAACAAATTTCACAAAAGTTACACCACTTTGAAAAAATATGGTGGAGAGCGCGGGGTATCGATCGCCGTACCTCTCGCATGCTAAAAGCGAGCGCTCTACCATCTGAGCCACGCTCCGGGCGACACCAGTCTTATTATTGTAACATACTTGGCTTACCACCTAAGCAAGATCGTTACAGTAACTAGGTCAATTAAAGTGTTACAGGGAGAAACTGAATCGGTAAATAAGATATCATAGAAAGTTTCAAAGTAAATAGAAATAACTTTATAGATCTGCTTTTCTTAAGTGTTTCCTCTAGAACAGTAAAAATATAACATGCTTTTGTACGTATGCTATGAGGGTGCAAATACTGTAAAATATCTCGTTGTACACAATTCAAACCCGAATTTCAAAAATATTTTACATGAAAAATATAATAATTGGAGGCGAGGGTATCGATCCCGTACCTCTCACCTGCTAAGTAAGCACTCTACCATCTAGACTACACCCCCAGTCTACACCTTTATTGGCAACGTATCGCCTTAACACCTGAACAAGGTCGTTGCAGTACTTAAGTCGATATCAGCGGAATATAAATAGTCAAAACATGCATTGTCACAAACTAAACATGTAATACAAAATTTCAACTCAATCGGTTGAAAACATCAACTAAAAATTGAGTTGCAAGATTCCACCCGAACAAATTACTTTAATTAATATCTTTTTTAACTAATTACGATATTGGAATATAAATGGTCAAAAACATGCATTGTCATCAGGAAACTAAACGTGTGTGTACAAATTTCATCTCAATCGGTTGAAGACATCAGCTTCAAAATTGAGTTGCAAGGTCCACGAACAAATTACTTGGATTAATATCTTTTTTAACCTAATTGCGATATCGGAATATAAATGGTCAAAACATACATTGTTGTCGCATCCAAACTAAACTTGTGAACAAGAGTGGGCTTAATCGATTGAAGACATCATCTTCAAAATTGAGTTGCAAGATTCCACCCGAACATTTTACATTGCAAGTTAAATATATATATAAAAGCTTGTAAAAAAAAAGGAAATATATTCATCTGAGCTAGGTACTTTAGAAGTAGTTAAACTTAAATGAAATAATAGCTGAGATTCTTTATCTACTTTGTTGCTTAAGACATCGAATATAATTGCATCAGACAAAGGATTCGATTCGAAATTTAAATTTTTTAAAAATCTCAAATGAACTTTCTTACGCTTTACATCTATGATTGATCGCGCGAATTTGAGATAGTTTTCGTTGCTAAGTTTATTTATAAAGAATTTCTTATATGAATGTCTACTAAAGCTCTTGTATTTTCATACCGGACTTCAAGGCCTTCATTAGTGAATCAAAAGTATCTTTATCACTTTGAATTAGAGACGCTTCATTTTAAGGTGCTCTTTTGAGATAGCAAAGTTTCTGTACTTCGTTTAAAGACGGATTATTTCGATTAGATTCATAAACTGTAATTTAAATTGTTCAAATTAGAATTTTGCCATAAAGTTGGCAATGGCAGATCAGGCAAGTAAACATGTTTATTCTTTGAAGTATTGTTACAGTTTCCTTTTTACTTTCATAATTGGATAAAAAGCACAAAGAAAGCTTTTGCTTGGTATCTTCAGCCTCATCTTGTAAAATCACTTAATGTATCCAATGAGTCTTTTAAAATTGACTTTTATCCGGAAGGGCACAGTAATCGTTTTGAAGAATGTCAATTCTTTGAGTGGTACTTTTATATTGTCCAGTTTCGATTTTAAGGTGATGTAATCCTTCCTACTGTCCGTTGGTTGAAAGCTTCATGTATGAAATTTTTACCTTCGAAAAACTTTATTTTTGAAAAGGTCGTTTTGTTTACGATTAAGTTCAACAGTGATGGTCATTTTGTTACGATTTATTCCTCGTTCAGGAATCGATTTGATTATTATTCCTTCGCATTCGAAAGTCGATTTACGATTTATATTCCTCGTTCAGGAACGATTTTCGATATAGTGTGGGCAGAACTATCAATGTTCATTAACGAGGGCTACTTCAATACAATGAGTAAATAATTAGCTCGTTGTATCCATAATTAGCTAGAACCAACTGCGAGAGGGAATCGGACCATGGTCAGTCGAATTCAATGGAGAAACAAGAAGGACTGTAACGTTGATTTTAATGTTCCTATCTGATAAATGAAGAAGAATATTGGTATACGAATAAGTTCATTGATGACTAAGCTTATAACACAGCACTACACTCACACACACACACACATTTAAGGCTATTTGCAGGGTTTTGGAAAATGTCGCTTTAAAATCGCTCTGCCAAAAGCATCGTACCTTTCATGTTAATTCAATCAGTTGCATCAGCGTTCTGTCCTAATAATTAAAATGGCGCGTTACATATGTTTATTCTGGCAACCCTGAAGACGCCAATTACGTTCGAAGGCGCCAACAATGTTAAATCAATGTAACACATCTGTTTTTAGATGTTTTTTTCTCTTTTTATACATCAAAAGAAATTTAACAATATTATTTTGCAATTATAAGTAGTTGTGTTATTGCTGATCGAAGTATTGAAAAGGCATTTCTTAAAAATTCTTTCGGAATATTTAAAGTATGTGAATTAGGTCAATAATAGGTTAGTTATTTGAATATTTACTTTCTCTTTTAATTTAAAAGAGAGATAAATTTAGTATAAGTATTATAAATTTATTTTGAAATATTGCATGTGTTAATATTTAAATGTTATCGAAAACATCCCGAAATGACATAATTGCAGGAAGCTAAAGGACAGAATTTTACTGGAATGAGAAATATAATGCATTTTTTTATGATTATTATAGTCATAAAAATACTTTGAAACGCGTAAACTGCATAAGATCATGATACGAATTAAAGACAAGGCTGGAAAAAAAAAATTTGCTGTTGACGCGGCACAAAATGTATGGACAAGTTCTAACCGCAAAACACTATGGGGGTGGTGATGTCATTTGGAACCCTTTTCTTTCCGGTTTTCAGCAAAATAACATTGTTTTGTATGCGTGCTGAAACGGTAGAGATCGAAGGAAGAGAAAAACGATGATGCGCCATCATTGAAGATTGATTGCTGAAGCACGGTTTTTAGCCAGTCAAAATCTGGCATTCAAAACTAGTTGAGATAATGGTAATTTTTTTTTAAAGGCAGTTTAAATATTGTCCATTGATCCAGTTATTTCAAGAACACCTTAATAATGTCAGTAAATGCAAGATAAACAAATCCGTATTTCACATTATAACTTAGTTACTGTAATGATCTTGCTCAGATGTTAAAGGCAAGCATGTTTTACAATAACACGGTGTCGCCGGGGCGTGTCCAGATGAGGTAGAGAGCTCGCTTAGCATGCGAAGTACGGCGATCGATACCCCGCCTCCAATTATTATTTTCCGTGTAAAATATTTGAAATTTGTTTGATTTGTACAACGAGATATTTTACACAACACTTCAACTCAGCATATTACAAAGTATGCTATATTTTTCCTAAGCTTTTATTTAACTTTGCAATAAAATGTTCGGGTGGAATCTTGCAATTCAATTTTGAAGCTGATGTCTTCAACCGATTGAGGCTGAAATTTTGTCTACATTTAAGTTTGGATGACAGTACATGTTTTGACCAGTTATATCCCGATATCCTGGAGGAGTGGTTAAAAGAGTATCTGCATGACCACCGTTGCACGGGCTTTCTCTACTTTTATATAAATTTTCTCTTTCCTTCACAAAATCAGCACTTCTAATACTCATTTTTAGAATGACTTCCACTCCCACCCCCTCCTCCGCTTCGCCATGTGTTGCTCGGGCTTTTACCAAATGTATAACTTAAATTTCCCTGTTTCGAGGTACTGCTTCTTTTTCTTTTGTCAGGCAGCTTTATCCCGGCATTGCGAACATTTTTAAATGCATAGCATATTGTCTGCATGGAAAAAATTCCCTTTCCCTCTCGCTTCATCAAAAGCTCTCAAATGAAGTGGAGCATTCACCACGATTATTCGCCCCAAAACGAAGCTCGGCATTGCGGCTTCCTACGGTGGCCTCAAGTAAACTGGTGTGCAAAAATTCGTAAAAGTTTTCAGTATTTTATTTTTAAATCACTAACTGTAAAATATCAGAAGTATGGCGGAGTTATTTAAAATCATTTTCATATAAACGCATCGGTCATGATCCATTTTGAAAAATCATAAAATATATATAGCGTATCGTTTGTTTTGTAAAAATAAAAATGAACATACTGTATCGTGATGAAATAAATTATCTTTCCAATTACAAAATTGCTGGGAAGTTATTAAATGCTGAGAATAAAATTTTTGAAGAGTATTTTTTTTAAAATCATAAAAACTAAGCGATAATGTTGTTTCGAACTCCGGGTACAAAGTAGCAGATCCAGCGCTCTAAACGACCAATCCACAGAAGTCTTCGGAAAAAAAGGAAATAAAAGACCGTTAGAAATAAAGAGTGGACATTTTCAATTTTGCATTGTGTTATTTGTTGAGATTAAAAATTTTCGGGCTTAATTTTAAGTTGAAATACCTTCAAACTTCATATTCATTCGAAACAACGGTAATTTTTAAACAAAAAATGTAACAAAAATAATGTACTAAATATTTCTTGTGCAAAGGGAAGGAAAAACACAATTTTTAAAATCGTAATTTTAAGCAATTTTTTCCCTCTTTGTACAGATTACGAAGATAAGATCGTTCTACACACAGAAAAATGTCTCATGAGATTATTTTATGACTAAAAAAGAAAGTATTAAGTATTTAAATAAAATTTTGAAGTTATTTTTGAAAAATCGTAAAAAAAACGTTTAGACATCTTATTTTTAAATGATTACGATTCTAAAAGAAAAAAAAGCATGAATTATATTAATTAGGGCATATCATTTCATTAACATTGGAAGAAAATGCAATAGGAACAATTTAGAAATCATTTTTCACCAAAACTTATCGATTTTGGATCATTTTAGAAAAAAATCGTAAAAAATAGAAAAAAGTAGTATTTTATAAAATAGAATTATACCATATGGAAGTGACAGAAGTAAATAATCTTTTCCGATTCTGTAATTATTTTTTGTCTTGAGTCTCCTGTAAAAAAAAT